GTATCGGCAAGTACTCAGATCCAAGTATTGGTATCGTATCGGTTTGAAAAAGTTGGTATCGTTGCATCCCTAGTCAGCATGTTGTGTGCCGTTAGTAGTGGAGAAAATAAGAAGTGGCAGACCACCTAAAAATATCCAATGTCCTTAATAAATAGAAGAAAATCCAGCAAAGACCTGACACAGGACCTAAGTGTGGCACCTTTATTTAATCCATTTACTATCTACTCATGACTCGTCAGGATTACAGTGGAACTCAATGGAACACTACTGAGCTCAACATTACTAACAGCGTGGGATTATCCTGACAGAGAAGGGACGAAAAGGCAGCGAGCATCCAAAGAAAAGTTTTGGATGTCCATCAAGAAGACTGGAGAACTATTCCTGAAGAGTCTGCTTAAACCTATTACAAGAAAGCTTGTTTGAGTTCCATACGAAACAATGACTTTTAACCTCATTAAAACTCTGTTTTTGCTCGTTACACCGTATTTCTATTTTTGTTTGCATGTTTCAATAAAGTTTTCCCAGCAAAATACACAGAAATGACATGTGGCTCAAGACTTTTACACATAGTCTCCAAGTGACCAAAAATATAACTCCAGATGTTGCTTATTCAAAAGAACGTTTTAAAAACATCTTTTGAAAGCAGCGCTCTTACTGTAACTCTGATATTGTGACGACGGTTCATAAGGACAAACTGAAAAAAGCTTTGAAGTTTACTAATCTGACATCCACTCCTCAGTTTTGCATTTCATGACCCTGAAAGATGACTCTGATTAAATGCCATGTAAATCTTCAGGGAACAATATGCTAATGTCGCATTCACAGATTTATGAGCCTCCCCTGAGGTGGCTCACTCACACTTCTTCATTTCTGTTTTATATGTTACTTCCTGTTTGGAAGTTAATGACTAACTCTGATATTTACCTGCCTTTTATCTCTGTTATACTCTTCGTCCTGACAAAACCTGCTTTTTAGCGCCTAATTGCTACACACTCTTCACCAGCTAATTCCTGCATGATGACTTGCCTTTGAGAAAGTGGCGTCCTGTGGGTCTGTCGGATTCTGTTGCCACTGAAAAGGACACCGGTTATAGCAGCTAGCATTTGTTTTGTTTCTTTAATGTAGAGTAAGTGATTATTGCAGACTTGGGTGTTCGTATGGACTAGCAGAGGGTCTTCACCCTCACTGCAGGCCTCTATTCGCTTTGACTCCTTTGACTGTTTTCACAGGTGAACGGGGCAATTTAGCTGCCACACATCATGTTCCCCTCTCACAATCAGGCTGACGCCATTATACAGTTTGCCGAATCAGCAGAGCGTTTCAGATAATTAAAATTCAGTGCGCTTTGATGAGGTGGTCCACCCTTGATTTCCCCCAACACTTTGCTTTCAAGGGCACAATTTCCATTCTTCCTCGTTATTTACAAAATGTCAACTTTTGTTAAGGCCTTTTGACCTTTTTTGAAGCACTTGTGGCTGTTGTGTAAAGGGCACGAAGCCACTATTGTCCTAGATATCTCCAAGTCATGTGTTGAATTAATCAGCCCTGAAAATACACTCCTATTTCTCATTGTTGTCATCTGCAAAGACGCAGAACCTAATTAGAGACAGTGAGAAATTTTCTGTTCTGCGTATTCGTCACTTATCTTTTGTGCTATATCAGCCATGCCACGTAGTTAAAATTTCACGATGCATGCACAGCAACATTTGTTCTTCTTACAAAAATCTGTTGCTTTGACAGTCACATCAATTATTTCCTTTTTTTTTTTGTAACCACAGAATCTCCATTCTGGACAACGGTAGTCTGCGGATATGGAATGTGACCAAATCTGATGCAGGCCTCTACACGTGTGTGGCAAGAAACCAGTTTGGTGTGGCAAGCAGCACGGGAAGCATCATAGTTAAAGGTATTTCCTGTTCAGCCTTTACGATTCACCACTTTTGCTTTTGCAGGTTTTTCCATCCCATATTGGTCACCTCTGTAGTTATAGAGAGAAAGGGATTGTTCTCCAACAACACCATGCCAATAATGAGATATGTAGATAGCTGGCTGACTGCTTGAATAGTAAAAGGGAACATGAGTAGTGTTCCTGTACTCATCTTTGTGGATTATACAAGGTCATTTTGTCAGCCTGGAACCTTTGTATTTTGTGCAGTGTTTTCCACTCGCTTATTTCTAGTTTTTTCAGTTCTTTTATCGTTTTGGTTGATCATGTCTAAACCTCTAAATCACTCAAAACTACCTGGTTAGACTGAGGCCCCAGCTACACAGGCCTAGAGATGGTGGACAACCATTTGGTCATGAGAGGAAAATGATTGCTGGACGTTGCTGGGGCTTGATTTGAAATCAGTCATTAAAACCCCAGTTATGCACACGTAGAGAATGGTCAGCGACTCACCGGTGGATAGTGAAAAGCGTGGTTGTTGGAGGTCGCTTGCTCCTAGTAGAGTTGGTTCCAAAGTCCAACTTTTCTGCAAACACCAACTATTTCCTAAGCTGCAGGGAAACTGTGAAAAATTTGACATAAACTGGAAATGCAGATTGTTTGCCTTCAAAAGTTGCAGCTTGTAAAATGTAAAGTAAGTCACAACTTTTACTTTGAAGGATGACAAGTGACAAGTGCTGGCAGACAAGTCTGCATCTTTCATGCAAACTACAGGTGACGGTGGAGTCTCAAGGAGGACTCAAAGCATTTAACTTTGTCTGAGGAATCTAAGTCTACCTTGTTTAGACTGAGTATTGCTCAAATCTTTAGCTCTGAAGCTGAATGCTGCTCTTTCACCCGCCTCCAGTGGCTCCCTGCAGCTATCAATATGGGAATGACATTTTTATGTATCATTGCTGTAAGTTATATCCACCAAATCTAAAAATGTGTAGCTTACACTGAATCAAAGAAAAAGGCTTTAATATGTGCATCGAGCTCCACATCCTGAATCTTGCTGAACCTCAGTAGTGGAGGTGGTTAGCGTGGATGCAGACACATAAATGGCTCATTTTTGTATAGATTTCAAATACAAAAAAAGAAAAATGTATTAGTGCATGATCAGATTTGTTTGCTTTCACCAAAGAAATACTGTTTTCATAGTATGCCTGATCTGTCGCTCTACTGCTTTGTTTTTTTACTTCTGCTAATTTTAAAACTGTTTATCTGCTTTATGTCTTATTTATGAAGTAAGCTACATGTAAGCTGATCATTTTCACAAATACCAGCAATGTTCAAAGTGGTATGCAGAGCTTTAGAACTACTCAGTTTAAAAGTAGGCCTGTTCAAGCTAATAGGCATTTTTTGCTCCCACTAAACCGTCGGAGTGCTGTGTTAGTGACTGAATTAAGTAAACAACAGGCAAACAATAAATTTTAGTTTTATAGCTTCATCAATTAAATAAAAACATAGTATTATTGCAGAGTAGTCACAAAGATTTTAATTATATACTGAATGGAAATGTTGATAAGCTAATTAATACTTAATAGGCTTAATTATAAGGTACAAATATGTTTTGCTCCTCTGTACAGACATTTTTGCCTATAAAAGCTTACTAATGATTTTTTGCCAGTTCTTTGTTACAGTAGGTTTCGCCACTAAAAGCTACTTGAATAGATGAAATTATGGAAAATTTATTTGATGCTTAAATTTATTTAAGCATAATTTTTCTGATTTTTGCATCCAGATCACCCAGGAATTTGACAGGTGAACTGTTGACTGGATATATTAAAGCTGTGACAATAATAGTTACTTAACATTTTCTTGCTCTTTTAATATACTTCTTATATATCCTGGTGTTTTAAGAAATTTGCAATATCCTAACTCATCCTGAATAAGAGTCCTCCAGAGTCGTCCTAAGAGTAAAGGCGTGGGATGCCTTTAGTCCTTCTGTCGACACATTCTGTGGACAAACATCAGTCTGTCTGCCTCACGCATTCTTCAACTGCCCAAATATTATAAACGTTTTGTGTAAGATGTTTCAGACTTTCTGTAGAACAGATTCAGTTTCTGGATTCAGTTCTGGAATAGCTCTATTTGGGGTGAAAGCAGCCACCTTGGAATCACCGGATAACCAACAATCAATCACACATTAGTTTGTTTTGTGTTATTGCTCACACAAAGACTCATTTTGCTGACTGGAAACAAAAGAAACCACCTTGTTGATGAAATATTTATATTAGAAAAAGATCAAATTCACACTGAGAGAAAATGGGAATTAATTTTATACAATATGACAGCCTGTAATTTAATTTCAACTCACCAGAGACTATTTGCAGTAATGCTGATGACATCCCCTGTTTTTTTATTTCATTACTGAACCTAAAAATCCCAATAAAGACAGCTAGAGGGAAAAATTTGTAACAGCTCCTCTAAACATTGACCAGTGACAAGTTGGGAGTGATGGATCAATTTCTATAAGAAGCGCTTTTCACAGGCTTAAAAGTCACAAACCGCTGTGCAACAATTAAAACACAATTAATATCAGTCTGTAAAGTAAGACATGACAGCAGCTTTGGTTAAACAGCATGTATCAGTGCCCCAGGAAAGAAACCAGGCTGCTTCATCATGGAGACGAAGCTCTGGAATGAGAAACGCATACAGCAGCTGCAGTGGACAGAAGCCCACACTGTTCCACGTACTCCTGAGTACAAGTGTTTAATTTTCATTCATAAAAAATGACCGACACAGAAAAGGGGCACGATTTATGAAGCATCCAAGCATCCCCCAATCTCCATCTTCTGATAAGTCCCACAAAAAGCAGTTTTTTTCCCCCCCTCTCTCTGTGCTGTCATTACTAGACAGAGACACCTCAGCTGCTATGTCTGTTTGCAGAGATGTTGAAATCATTCGGCTCACTGCCTCGCTGTGCCCCCCAGTACCAGCAGAAGGATATACTGCGTGAAAAAAATAGTCTTCGTGTTGTTGGATCATCTGGGTTGGGGATTGCATTTCTGCTCCGGTGCTGTGACTTATTATACTTCATTAAAAATAAATGTGAGCTGGGTATAAAGTGCTGTGCATTCTGCGGCGGCTTTATGCTGTGCACACCGCAGCTTTTCAGTCCCATTTCCACAGGGGATAGTGTTCTCACCTCGTCAGGCTCCCGGAGGATTTGCTGACATATTCGGTGAACTATACCCTCACTGTGACCTCCTTTTCACAGGGGTTCCTGGGCTCATTTGTGCTATCGTTACATGTTCTGTTTTGACCTTCCTCATTGAGCGGCTTCTTTTACATTTATAGAGTTATTGATTTTCAGTATTTTGCCCTCAGGGAGAAAAGTTCACGCCTCATATTTCAAAAGGTTTTTCATATAAAGGTTTTCTATATAGATTTGCATGTGCTCTGTAGTTCAGGAATTTTCGCACGACGCATCCAAGTACAGTTCTCGCAGCTACGACTGCATTTCTTCGGCTTCACCAGAAGCAGAATATTCCGAGACGTCGAGGTAAACCCCGTGGGTCAGAGCATGCTGCAAATCCGCTCACACCTTTTACTCACCGCCTAAGAGAGAGTACGATTCGCTGTAACCTCATATGAACATGCAGAATACATTGATCATTCGTCTGCGCTGTTATTAAATACCCGTGGGGGGGAAAGAACTACACAGGTCAAAAAAAACAGTAAAGAAAATCTAATAAAATCGTGCCCAAATCCTTCCAATACCCTGTGTGAGAAATACTGCAGCTAAAAATCATTTTTCATAAAGTCTCGAAGACAGAGCTGCTTCTTTTTTGTGTGTAGTTTATAGTTTTTGCTCAGAGGTTCAATCCATTAAATTGTCTTTCTTCTACAAGTTAGCAGTCTGTAAAATCCTTTGAAATGCAGTGTCAACAGTCTGCTACCATATCAAGGTTTTTTTCTCCAATTATCCAAGTAGTTGCCATAGAAACATGGATTAATTGACTTGCTCAGCCCCTGCAGGCTAGTGTTTGATTGAATACTTTAAAAAAAAAAACATTGATTAATGTCAATGAGAATAACAGCGAGAAGAAAATCCTGTTATTGTATCTATATGTTCATTCTCCTTTTTAGCCAAAAACACGTCACATAATGGAATTTTAAATAACTCTGTTGCGGCTCTGTCTTCTGTAAATCACTATCAAGGCGGTGTTTCCTTTTTCTGTTGAATTATAAAAGACAGATTTCATATATTATGAATGCCTGAAAGTCAGCAACAGTCAAGGATGTGGGGAGAGCTTAGAGTGCACCTTGCCGCTGATTTATGCTGATGCCTCGCTCTGGCTCCCATTGACGACTCTGCCGCTCTACCAAATGCAGTACGCCTTGCATAATAGAAGCGAGAGAAATTAAAGGATCACGTAACCTCAGAAATTCATTGGTGACACCTGCAGCCGTTACGTGAATTGCAGTTATTATTCTGTTTCTCGGGGTTTGCAATGGCTTTTGCATGACTTGTCCTACTCAGGTCTTTATTTGGCTGTATGAGATATCTTGTGTCTGCGCTAGCAGGCACGCTAGCAGGCACGCTAGCAGGCACGCTAGCAGGCACGCTAGCACTAGGTACAATTTAAAAAGACCAACCGAGATCAATCAAAATTGATCCTAAAAAAAACAAACAATGCCTCGATTAAGCAAATACTCCACCCACGTTGACTGCAGTTTTTCACTCATGGTTAAATTCCAATATGGCCAAACAGACTCCTAAGTTAAAACTGGTTAATGTTACCTATAGATAACATAGATATCAGAAAATGGACAAATTACATAATATCTAACAACAGATGGTTTAAAACATGTTGTGTAGCATCCAGGTTGGGAAAATTAAACCAATGGCAAACCAGTGCCTTAAATCTGGATTCTGTGTATAGGACACCAGCTCTATGGTCTACGCATTACCATAGCAACCAGAGAGCATTAACGGGCAGAGAGGAGGATGTTACTCTCAGTGTTGTTGGCGC